CAGAGATGGAGGGAGCTGCGGCCCAGCAGGAACATGAGCTTTTGGATTTGACAAATGAACTTGGAAAAAGCCAGATTAGGAAAGATAAAGTTTGGACTGATTTGGAAATGGGGGGTTGGATAGACCCCCCTATGCAGGGATGTTTGGACTTTTCAAGTCTGGCAATGGGCCGTGAGATGTTTGGAGCTGTGGGGGCTCTCAATTTTGAAGGGATTCTGAAACATGTTTTTAAATACTACATGGAGTTTAGTCTGGACTATGGAAAAGGGGCTGATTTGTTGAAAGGGGTCAAAAACATTACCAAGTTGGAGTTCCCACGAGTGAAAGGTGAATATGAAGAAGAGCTGCGGAAGGGACATGGAAGGGACTTAAGGGCCTCGGATATAAGGTTACCAGGTTAATGCGCTAGATCGATGGGATAAAAAGGACTGACAAAACCCGGGACCAGGATGAAGATTGGATTGTTTCTATTTCTTTTTTTATCACTAGGATTGTTTTATAAAATTGATGGCTGTTAGAAAAATGTTGGAACGAAACTACTTGGCTCTAGCAAAAATGTTTAAAGAATTACGCAAGAATATTATGGTTATGAGAAGTGGGTAAAAATAAGATTTAAGTTTTAAGTTTTAAGGTTTTTTATAAGATAAGATGAAAATAGATTAAGGTAATGTAATGACAGAATATTATGAAATATGGAAAGGATTTGCTGCGATAATTATTAACTGGGATACAAAAAAAGGGAGGAGGAGGAGGTCAAAGAAAGAAGGTAATGAAAGTTGAAGATTTGAGAATGTTGGCTTTATTTTTATCTGTTTGTGGTGTATTTTTGTTTTTTGAATTTGTATTGTTGGATGTGGTTTGTTTTTTTTTTGTTTTTTTCTCTTTTCCATTTTTTCTTTTTTCTTTCTCTGCTTTGTCTTTTTCTGTAATTTTAAAAATTTTCAATAAATATCATTAAAAACAAAAAACAAAGAGGGGAAGGCAGTTGGACTGGATGGCCTCTGGGGTGTATTCCTGGTCTTCAGTGGTATGATTCGGCTACTTGATTTACTGCCTCAGGTGTGTGGGCTAAAGCAAAGGGGAAGGAGCTCCCCTGAGATATCAGGTGTTTGCAATGAGGGGGCCTCCTTCTTTATGGCAAACAAAGGGTGGTTCAAGGAAGAAAGACAGCAAAAAATAAACGATCTAAGAGGCAAGCAACAGGTTGAAGCAATAGAGAAAACTCAAGTTCCTTTTAAAACGATGGTAGAGAGTCACACCCTTCCTTGCACACACACACACATCTCATTTTTTATTTTATTTTTTGTTCTTCTGCATCCTTCCCCTGTGATGACTACCTTGGGTTATGCAAAGGGAAGGATGGGTTTATTTGCATGCAGAAATAAAGTGATAATGAATTAGCTGCCTAAGTCCCTGCTTCTTATTCTAGGGAGAAGATGAGAGAGCTGCTCATTTACATTTCAGGTCCCCTCTGGATACAGATGGTGTTATTCAGCCTCTTTAGCCATTAACTCTTCCTTGGCCTGATCCTTGGATTTGTGACGTCTTTTGCCCTTTCTTTGGCTCTTGCATGAGTCCTGTCTGTAACTAAGGGTATTTTCAGCAAACGTTGGAAAATATTATATAATAAAGGAGGAGCTTTAAAAACGTAAGCATTTACCTGCAGGGGTGACTCGTCTTCCCCCGAAGGCCTGAGTTCTCAGCACTAAATTTGCTATAGACTTAGCTCATTCTGACCCTTTCCCTTATACGCTCATTAGCGTTCCTTGAATAGCCGGTTTGAGAATAGGAAGTTGCAACTCTGTTGTACCAATAGGAAGAACATTGGCCCAGCAGTAACAAAAGCTTCCTGTCATCTTTCGCCTTCGTGGAATACACTTCCAAGCATTTTTCAAAGCTTAGGGTTAATGCATGTTATAATTATGCTTGTCTTAGCACCATTAAACTTCTGCATAAGTATAGCATAATTACACCTTCATTATAGAGTTCTCAGTTGCAGCCGTTTCTCCCACAGGAGGGCTACCGTGCTGTCATCTCAAAACATTTTTGTAATCAGCCTCTCAAGTGGGAGATTAGCATTGGCAAGTCCTTAAATTCTTGCCTGTTTGAAACCTGTCTCTCTCTCTCTCTCTCCATGCCCCCACCCCCCACTTCTTATATTCAGTGATGGCACCCACATCCACAAAGCAACATGTCCTTGTCAGTTGAAGTAGATCAAGACGATATAGCACCTAGCAATATTTAATTAGCACAGTAAGTGGGTGTAATAATTCAGGATCTTCTTTTCCTCCCCTGTTGAACCAAGCCTTCAAAGTAGATGTTTTCACTCATAGCTTAATTTTTCTTATGGGTGACATTTTCCCAGAAGGAAGAGGTTTTTGGAGGAGGAATCAGAAAGCTGAGCAAGGAGAGCGATGATGTGGAACTTACTAGCAAGCTGAATTATTCTGATTCAGATGGAAAGAATAGGACTCACTGCAATATTTTATATTTTGTAGAAATTGCCACCCCACCCTTCAAACAAATTTCCAGGGCGGCAGGTGTGGGGCTGTAAGAATTTTATATCCCGTAAAACACCCTGTTGTTTTAACGAACACTAGCAGGGGTGGAGAACCTGCTGATTCTCAGGTCTTGAGAAGCCAGTTTCAGATCACCTTGAAAAGGACTTCAGCTGACTGTTGCTTCTTGAGAAGCCCCTTTCAAAGTGCTCTGCAAGACACATGACCAGGGGAAAGTCACCCAGTGTCAACTGACTGACAGGTGGCTGGCTCCACCTACCAGACAAACATGGGCGGTGAGGGGTGGGGGAGATAGCAATCTAAGCTGCTGGCCATTACCTGCACTGGAGGTAATAGCTTGCCTAGGTACACATCAGGGCTGGGAGATACTGTATATCAATCTATCATCCATAACCAGTTTGAAGTCCTTCTCATCATATCTGTTTCAAAATTTTTGACCTGGCAATACATCACAAATCATGATTTGTGTTTGGGCTGGGCGATATATTGTCCAAAACTGGTTTGAAGTCCATATCACGATATTTGTTTCATAATTTTTGACCTGGCAATATATCGTGAATCATTATATATGTGTCTGTGTGTACTATGCAAAAATCACAATGGTGGTGGGGGGGGGGAGTGAAGCAAGCCAATGCATAGTTCCATCCTTATGTCAGACATTGTGATATATCAGTATATCACAATGCTTAGCTGGTGATATATTGCGATGTTGAAAACCAGATAACGCTGTTTCACACCCTCCAACATGTTGAGTCCAAAAACCAGGACATTTGTCTTCCCATCAGTGATCCTGAGTGAGCCACGTGATCTGCGTGAAATCATGGCCCCCAAAACTGCACGCTTTGGGGTGCTGTGTAAGAACTTGCATGAGATCACAGAGCCCGAAAATGGCCTTCATGTCTCTTGCATGTTCTGTGTTTTTTCTGGGACACTTGCAGTGGATGCTAATTTGGCTTGAAATCTGAAGCATTTCATATAAAACCTATGGAGGCCTGCACAGTTTGCAAACTTGAAGATTGCTGGTGGGATTTAAAGTTGGCTGCATCAGATGGAATTGCAATCCATCCTAATTCAGAGACGGTATCTTCACCCTTCAAAAGGCATGAGATGAGATGTTTTCATTGGTGACCTGCTTGTCTTAAACTCCTTGATGGGCCAACTCTGTTCATGCAGTTCCAAGGTCTAGACTTCAATATTTTGTCTGAAAGAACCTGGTAGCAGGGGGTAGAGATCTAGGATCATGGTTTGGTGTCTCATCCACATCTGTATTTATTAATTTTATTGATCTGTTATGGGGGGCGGGATGTATAGCCCACCCTATCAGCTGCTCACCCTTCATTGGGATGCTGGGAACCTAATGGAAACCTAAAGCAGTAATTATGGGAGGCAGTTCAAAGCCACTCTCCATTCAGCAAAGCAATTCTACTGCTATCCTGCAGACACCCAGGGGGCAAGCTCAATTTTCGCTGCCTGTTAAAGGAGGTGGCTGAATGGACATTTATAAATAGCGGAGGCATGAAGATCCATACTTGGTTTTTCCTTTTCATCCTGAAGCAGGTGAGATTTCTCCCCCTTTGTCTCGCGGTTCTCTCCTCTGAGCAGTGCAGATTCAATAAGAAATTAAAAACAGGATTTCTGAAGTCTCTACCAAGGAGGCTTTTGAAATGAGGACTCTGAGTACCAGCACTGCCCACTTTCATCTCGTGGAAGCTTCTTCCCATTTCAGCAAGCGTCTAAATCTCTGGTAGGAAATCTTAGCAGCTCGGATCATCAAAAGAAAAGAGGCCAGAGAGTGCCAAACAGGAACTGCGTATTCTCAAACTCCTCTTTGCCTGCCGCAAAGCTCCAAGCCCTCGACCAACATTCTTCAAGCTGGTGCCCTCACGTTGTTGTAAGAAGGCAACAATATGGTCATTGCTGTCAGGGATGATTTATTAATAATGCTATTTATTCAATTTATATCCTGCTTTCCCCCGGGGCAGCAAACACAGCCATAATAAATGTTATGTACTGAAGTTCTCACCCTGGGCCAGCAGGGGATACTGTAGATAGTTATGCAAATGAAGGATCGAAAGTGACGTTCAGTGATTGGATAGCTTTTATGCAAATGAAGGATCAAAAGTGACGTTCAGTGATTGGATAGTTTTAGAAAGTTGCTACAGTAACGTTGTACTGGAGCTCTATATAAGCAGGCTGACTGAGCCCTTCAGTTCAGTTCTGTCTGGCCTCTGAATAAAAGAGAGCTGTTTGAAGAATCGCTGTGTCGTCTGATATGTTCACCCACAACTTAACAATAAAGCAAATTTATGAGGAAGACTTATGAGGAACAGTTGAGGGAGCTGGGTTGGTCAGACCACACCTGGAATCCTGTGTCCAATTCTGGGCACCACAATTTAAGAAGGATATTGACAAGCTGGAACGTGTGCAGAGGAGGGCAACCAAGATGGTCAAGGGTCTGGAAACCAAGCCTTATGAGGAGCATTTGAAGGAGCTGGGTATGTTTTGCCTGGAAAAGAGGAGCTTGAGAGGAGATATGATAGCCATCTTCAAATATTTCAAGGGCTGTCACATGGAAGATGGAGCAAGCTTGTTTTTTCCTGCTCTGGACGGCAGGGCTGGAACCAATGGCTTCAAGTTACAAGAAAGGAGATTCCAGTTCAACCTCACGAAGAACTTTCTGACAGTAAGAGCTGTTCAGCAGTGGAGTGGTCTCCCTCAGGAGGTGGTGGAAGTTCCCCAGCAGATCCTGCTTTGTTCTACGTACTTTATAAAGCACCATGCACATTAATGTGCAAAATAAAATTATGTGCAAAGTTTAGCATGTCCCAGATTCATCCACCCATACCTTGTTTAATTTAGCCATTAGAATTTGACCAATTAATATAAAGACGGCAGTTCATGTTGTCAGTTGAAAAATGAGGCACAGCTACTTTGGTATGAGCACAGAGCAAGACAGGAATTGAAGGACAAATGACACAAAAGGCTGGTGATTGCTTTTAATGGCTTGATCTCATTTCATGTTCTGGGGCAGTCAGGGATGTGCCAGGCCTCACTGTCTCATTCTAAATGGTATCATTTAGCCCTATAACATTTTTGCTTGCAAAAATTAAGATAAAATAAAAAGAATGTGTCATTCATTTCTTGTCTATGGTTCACAAATAATTTAAGCTTAAGCGCTTGCATTTAATCCTGTTTTAGCCTTTAAAAGTGATCAAGGGTAGAGAAACCAGATTAGGGATGGGTAAATCTGTCACTTACAGTGTCTCTCAGTTTTCCATTTCTCCAGTCTGGAATTCACTTCTCCACATTTTCACAGCGGGGTGGCATTCTTTTTTAAAGTCTTCATGAAAATTTGCCAGCATTTTAATGCATATTTCTGCTAGCACACGTGTTACTGTGTGCAATTTCCCCTGATATACATATTTCCAAGCAATCACCCCAATACAGTCATACGTTGGGTTACAGACGCTTTGGGTTGCGCGATTTCGGGTTGTGCACTGCGCCAAACCCGGAAGTACTGGAACTTGTTACTTTCAGGTTTTGGCGCATGCGCATGCACACTGAATGGCACTTTGCGCATGCACAGAAGTGCCGGACTGTGACCCACACATGCACAGGTCGTGAACGCTGCAGCTTGCGAACGTGCCTCCCGCACAGATCACGTTCGCAACCCGAGCATCCACTGTACCATACATTTATGTGTGTTATTTTCACTAATATACACATTTATGCATGCTTTCACTTAGTGCATGCATTTTTGTATCGTAGAATCATAGAACTGTAGAGTTGGAAGAGGCCTTGAGGGTCATCCAGTCCAACCCTGCTGCAATGCAGGAATTTCATCTAAAGCATCCATAACAGATGGCCACCAAACCTTTGCTTAAAAACCTCCAAGGAAGGAGAGTCCTCCACCTCAAGATCTCACCAGAACCTGCTGCGACCGCTAACAGACTCTGCCACACAACCCAGGCAAGGGAGGCTTTGGCAGGAGCCGGGCAGCACCTTCTTATTTCACCTCGGGCAGCAAAACGGGATGCGCCACTCCTGCAGCCCCTGAGACAAGTGGACCAGGGAGCCATCAGTGTCATCTCAATTCAGCCACCACACCGGAAGCAAAAATAATAACACCATCTAAGGCTGACAGTGAAAGCCAATGCCAGTTGGATGAAAATATTGAATCAGCCTGCCTAGGGAGGAAAAAAGAAAGAAAGAAGCAAATACATTTCTCCCTCCCACACTCAAATATGTGAATACAAATGACCAGCCCTGGCTATAGATAACATTTGAGTCACGTATTTCTCCCGCAGTGCAGCATCTAAAGCCCAGCAAGTGTTGCCTAAGGCAAAAGAATTTTGCAAGAAGATGCCAACAGCCTATATTCCTCTCGGGTTTACAAAACTGAAACACATCACAGCACACGTTGCTGAGGAAGGTGTGCAGAACATCATATCCAACAAAGGTTGAGCTCCCACCCTGCCATCATATTGATCCATAGATTTATTACTTTTTCAAAGCTGCCCTTCCCTGCAGTGGTGATGACGTTCTCTGCAGAGGCTCAGATACTGCAAAACAGGAAAGCAGGGAAGGAGAGCCTGTGGTCCTCCAGGTGTGGTTGGACTCCAAATCCCATCAGCCCCAGCCAGTGTGTCACCAAGGGCGGGGTTTATGGGAGTTGTAGTCAACAACATTTGGAAGGCCCCAGGACGGTTCCCATCCTTGCAACAGACAATGCAAAGGATAAGAGAAACATCTCCAGTGGTGCTCTAAGAAACCAGTCTCGTCTTGTTGCGGAAGAAGAGATTTTTTTAAAAAAAGCAAAGGTAAAAAAAGAACTCCATATCTGTGTCATGTTTCATGTACATTTATGAAAGATTTATACCTCAGTAGTGAGGCATCTGCTCTGCATGCAGAAGACGCCAGCTTCATCCCTAATTGCAAAGCTTCCAATTTGAGCACTTGATTTAAAATGTTTGTACAGTGCATATTCTATTTTGGACACTTTCATGTGAAGAAAGATACAGTGGTGCCTCGCAAGACGAAAAGAATCCGTTCCGCGAGTCTCTTCGTCTTGCGGTTTTTTCGTCTTGCGAAGCAAGCCCATTAGCGGTTTAGCGGATTAGCGCTATTAGCGGCTTAGCGGGCTTAGCGGATCAGCTGATAAGTGGCTTAGCGGCTTAGCGGATCAGCTGATAAGCGGCTTAGCGGCTTGGGGAAAAGGGGGGGGAGGAAAAAAACCCCACAGGAACTCGCAAGACATTTTCCTCTTGCGAAGCAAGCCCATAGGAAATTCGTTTTGCGAAGCACCTCCAAAACGGAAAACCCTTTCGTCTAGCGGGTTTTCCGTCTTGCGAGGCATTCGTCTTGCGGGGCATCACTGTACAGTGGTACCTCGGGTTGCGAACGTGATCTGTGCGGGATGCACATCCACAACCCGAAGCGTTCACAACCCGTGTCTGCGCGTCTGCGCACGCACGGGTTGCGATTTGGCCTTCTGCGCATGTGCAAAGCGCAATTTAGCGCTTCTGCGCATGCGTGACCGCCGAAATCCAAAAGTAACCCATTCCAGTACTTTCGGGTTTCGGCAGTCCACAACCCGAAAAAACGCAACCTGAAGCGTCTGTAACCCGAGGTATGACTGTATTATGGTAACGAATGAGTCTAATAATCCTGGAGGGTCCCTATCAGTTGGAGTACACAGTAGGAATGGGGGAACGTGCCCTCAGATCCATTCAGAATCACAGACTTGTACAGCTGGAAGGGACCACAAGGGTCATCTAGTCCAACCCCCTGCAATATGGGAATCTTTCACCCAATGTGGGGCTCAAACTCACAACCCTGAGATTACGAGTCTCATGCTCTACCAACTGAGCTATCTGGCTGCATACACACTGGATGTTCACACTCTGCACCCTAAAAATTCCTGGGAACTGAAGTTCTGTGTAAATTGAACTGAACACTGCTGTGAAATGATCACTAGTCAAGGAGCGAGCAGTGCAGGCACTGGCAAAAAAGGGGGGAAAGACCCACCCCAGAATGCCCCCAACTTTCACAGACTTTGAAAGAAGCCATGAAATAGGGGTGGGGTGGAATTTTTCAGTGTTAAACCCTTTCACCATTTCAGTGACAATTAAATCAATTATACTTAAATCAATTATGCTTAACATACCATAGTTTTAGAAGGCATCTGAAGGCAGCCCTGTTTAGGGAAGCTTTTAATGTTTGACAGACTACTGTATTTTAATATTTTGTTGGAAGCTGCCCAGAGTGCCCAGATGGGTGGGGTATAAATTATTATTATTATTATTATTATTATTATTATTATTAATACACACCATCCATTTAAAACACACACCCCTTCCAAAGAATCCTAGGAGCTGTATTTTAACCCTGACGGAGCTACATTATGTTGTTTTTAACAGAAGGCTCCATGGACAGATGCTGGTCGTGACATTCCTGGTGTCTTTCGGAGGGGTATTCTGAGGAAAGCAAAATGGCAGCCACCAGTGAAGAGGCAAGGAGAGCTTTGGTGAGTTTTGCCCCGTGCCTACAATTTCTTCCAATCAGCCCTCCGGGAAACATGATCAAGAGAAGCCAGTTTAGCTCTCCCCAATATTGACTGAAAACTGCCACGTTTGAAGTTTCAGCCTGTCTCTAAAGAGAACCCAGGGGAGAGCAATGCATATATGTCTTGGCTTGATTTTCACTGCCATTGAGCTTTAAAAGGCAAAGTCAATGGATGGCAAATTGGTTTCTAGTTCACAAAATTGCATCTCATTTACTCACTTACTCAGCATTGACTCAAGAGGGATTAGTGGCCTGTTTAGTTATTTAGGTTACTTTTAGCTCATCCCCCCCCCTCCATCCTAAAGTGCGGGAAAACGAAATAAATGTTGCCAAAACTAGTACAATTAAAACCAAGTCCACAGCCGGAATCGATGCTCAGCTTAATCACTGTGGCTGTCGTCTGCCTTCCAGAGCCAGCTGTCCAGCCCAACAGCCCCAAATGGAACTTGCCAGTCGGGGTGAGGAAAATGTCTGGGCTGTGCAGGGGTGGGGAATACTTTTCTGCCTAAGGGCCACATTCCAACATTTTTGTACATTTAACCCCTTGGCTTATTTCCAGCTTGTAGCTATCAATGTTCTTGCTGCATTTGAGATCCCTCCTTCTCAACTGGCTCTTAGTTTCAGGCTCAAAGTCCTGCCCTGATATGACTGCAGCCTTAGAGTCTTCCAAAATGCTGCCGCTTTTGAGGAAGTGCTTATGTTAATATTAACAAACAAACAAAAAAACATTTGCGCAAATCTATTGGAGAAGAGCAGGTATACAGTATAGACTGGCAAGAAAACAGTAATAAATCTTGTGAGACTGTTTCTTCCCTTTTAACAGCTTTTTTCAGAGTCCCACAGCTGCTGTTTGGCTGTGTTTGTCAGTGATTGCCATTTCATTGAGTCATGCACTTTTAGTACCTGGGATGGTTTATTGGCATTCTAAAACTTACTTTATGGTCCAAGTCAGTGATAATAATAGAAAAGTTGTGGAAACGGAAGATAGGGTAGTCCACAGGGAAATGTCATATGTCCTACTTTATACTTGTCCTCTGTTTGAAGGGCTGTCAGAGGACAGTCCTTTATCTGAAGGAATCTCTTCTTTGAAGAGCTACCTGGTCCAA